AATTAAAAGTAACGCATAATGTTTTGCATTGGACTTTAATCATTGGCATCACATTACAGCCTTAGTTTGGAAGAATTCGGAGGAAATTAAACAAGTCAGGATTTTGTCCTAAATTTTTCCCAAACTTTCAATATTTTAGTCAAAGCCTTAAAATCCACAAAACATTATGCAGCTGTGTCCTACATCAAGCTACGTATGAAGCAGATCAGAAGTGAGGGAGCCAAAATAAGAAATCCACACAGACACGCCCTTTATTAAAGGTTACACCCAAAAATGATGTAAAGAATTAGTTACTACATTATCTGCAGACGGAAGGAAAGTTTTGTAATGCATTCATTCTGTGGACTAATGCATAAATATTAATAACATTATCTTATGGTAAACGAAATTTTATTATTGAAATTAAATTAATGGTGATCTAGGCCTAGTTATCTATGAAAAAAGAAATTTTTTTGCGAGCAATTCAAGACTGTCTACTCTTGATTTGAAAATACAAAACAGTAGAAGAAAGTGGGTAACTTTGTGGTTTTGTTTGAGGATGTCAGGGACTTTTATCCTGCCAAACTGAATGTGAAACTGCCAAAAACTATAACGATTTAATGAACATCAAACGATGAACTTCAAAACATAGAAAGGACACGATGGACATTCATCGACTTTTTTCGGTCTAACGTAAGAGTTTACAAAGACTACGTTAAGGATTGAAACATCCCAGGAAATAATGTTACGAGAAGCATTGCTGTCTATTAATTGAAATAGACCAACGAGAAACATAATTTGAAAGTAAGACTTTAATCAGAATTATTCAAAGATACGTTTAGTCAAAAGTAAAGGGGACAGGAACAAAAACCTTGTTTCAAAACGCAGAAGAGACAATATGGAGAGAGATCGACTTTATCAATAGGGGGTAAGACCATACTTAGATTAGATAAAGAACTGAAACATCCAAGGAATCAATGGCACAACAAGCATTGCTGTCTATCAATTGAGAGAGACCAACGAGAAACATAAACTTTATCTAATAAAAGGTAAGAGTCTAATCAGTATTATTCAAAGATACATTTAGCCAACAGTACAAGAGACAGAAACGAAAACCTTGTTTTTAAACGCAAAACAGACACGATGGAAAGTCGTTGACTTTTTCGGTCTAACAAAAGAGTTCACGAAGATTAGGTTAAGCATTTAAAAATCCCGGGAAATAATGGCATGACAAGCTTTGCTGTCTATTAATTGAGAGAGAATAACGAGAAACATAAACTTTATCAATTTAAATGTTAGATTTTAATCAGTATAATTAAAAAAGAGTTTAGCCAAAAGTACAAGAGACAGGGACAAGAAGCTTGTTTCACAACGCAGAAGAGACACGATGGACAGTCATCGACTTTTCAATATAGGGTAAGATTTTTCTTCGATTAGATTGAAGATTGAAAAATCCAAGGAATTAATGGCATAACAAGCATTGCTGTCTATCAATGGAGAGACATCATCGAGAAACGTAAACGTTATTTACTTCAAAGTAAATGTTTAATCAGAATATTTTAAAGATAAATTTAGCCAAAAGTACAAGAGACAGGAACAAAAACCTTGTTTTAAAACGCAGAAGAGACACGACGGAAAGTCGTTGACTTTTTCAATAAAGGGTAAGACCGTTCTTAAATTTGCTGTAGTATTAATCTTTTAGAATTCAAATTTAGAGTTGAATCAGAATACTTCCAAAATAAATTTAGCCAAAGGTATAAAGGGTAGAGTCAACAAACCTTCTTTCAGAACGTCGGAAGGACACGATGGTGAATCTTCGACTTTATCTATCAAGGGTAACAGTTTACTTAGATTAGATTATGGATGGAAACATCCAAGGAAAATATGGCAGAACAAGCAATGCTTTCTTTCAATGGAAGAATCCAACGAGAAACATAAACTTTTGAAAATTCAAACTTAGAGTCTTATACAAATAGTTCAAAGATAAAGTTAGCCTAAGATACAAAGGGCAGAGACTACAAAGTTTCTTTCAAAAGTAAAAGGGACACGATTATAAATCATCTTTTCTATCTATCTAAGGTAAGAATTTACTTAGATTCATGTTACTCGATGTAGAGTAAGTATGGATAGAGTTCAGGCTGCAGTGCAGGTGATTCAAAATTGATCTTAATCCCGTGCTTAGGAAAATGTCAATAGTTTGTAAACGCAGCAGGCATTCGCTGTTCACCAAAAATCTTCTCATTACCAGAGGGTAAGGGTAGCTAAATATTGTTCTGATTGATTTTACCCTTGTTGATTGATTAGGCGAGGCTATATAGCCTCTTCACTATATCCCCTCTTAGATAAGGAGGAGGGCTTCTTTTTCTTTAGAACATATGATTTCAACTCTTGGAACGATACTGGTTATGACGATCATAGCAAATACTTCTTTATCCGGCATTCCAATTCTCTATTTGGATTGACACAAAAGAAGTGACGTAGATTCACTATGGGACTGGAGTATGCAACCATTCCATTTTCCTTCCGGGTCGGGGTGTTCGTAGGGGGGGGGGGAGTTGTAGATCATGACCAATGATTCACAGATATTATAATAAGAAAAACAAAATAGAAAGTCAATCAGATCGACCTCGAAAAAATTTTGTTACAGTAGATTGAGGCGAGAAAATCTAAGCACTACATCGCAATTCAATGTAAAAGTATTTAAGGAATTTTAATTCTCCTGAATTACTGGGGTTTTGCATTCAATGTATAGGGTCAAATCAGGAGCGGATCCAGACTATAGCAACAGTAGCTCGAGCTATAGTCAAAATCTCAGTGTTTGATTTACGCTGCTATCAAGCCTCTCAACATTTGAAAGCAGCGGTATAGGTTATCAAATTATTAACAAACATGCAATGCTGGCGGCTCTTGCTAATGGGCATCTGGGGCCATGCACCCTCGAAAAGATTCAAAGGAAATCTATGATATTCATATTTAATTTTAAAGATAGTCTTACTGTGGTTAATTATATAAGTTTGTATCTCTTCTAGAAAAAGCTCCTTGCTATCCCGTCTCGTCCTTAGCCTCGCTTCTGGCCCGCTAGTGCCTTGAGCGATGATGTTATTTTACGGGCAAAGTTTTTTTTGCCCCTAGCCGACATGCGCACAAGCTAAGTTTTGACCTCGAGCATTGCAAAACGCCGTCTGTGATTGGCTCATTTGGATTCGGGGCAAGAAAAATTTTGCCCGTAAAATGACATCATCGCTAAACAACAACCACATCATCGCTAAACAACAACCACAGCTTTTTCTTCTGCGCTCCATGACGATCAACATCAAACCATGAATACAGTGAAAAATTTGCAAAGTCGACCTTTCTATCGATTATCGCCATATTGATGGTCTGCCCTCCCAACTGTGAAAGTCACGAGCCGCCACTGGTCATCACTATGCCTCTCCGGATTTGCTCTGGAAAAGGCATCGAAGACAATGAAACTCGTACTATAATTTTTGGCGCGAGCTATAGTGAAGCTATAGTCAGGTTTGAAAATGGCTTTTTAACCAATAGAATATGAGTATCCACGGTACATCTCCGCTCTCTGCCCCCTGTAAAGCAACAGTGGACTATAGCTCGTCTTCACATCCTGGGTCCCCTGTAATGTAGCTTCAAAGGCAAGAACCTACTAGGGAATCGACAGGGACGGCGGAACGACCAAACGGCAAGAGAGGGGGGCAGGCTCGAGTTAAAGGGCTTTTGATAGATAATTCTCAGCTTCTACAAATTCATACGTGACTGCAATTTTATTATCTGTAGGTATCTTCAACATTGGCTAATTTTCGGCACAAGGAATTATTTTACATGTTTTGAGAAGTTCAGAATTTCATATGAATCTCTCTGATTATTACAATTGGCCAGTTTCAAGGGAACTTTATTAGAAACAACTCTTACCCCTTCTGTCAAAGGGCAACAGGGGCAGTTGTACCCCTACACCCCCTTCTCTGGCGTCCCTGGAGATAGAAAAAGGATGTTCGAAGGAATATTTATGAATACGAAGCAACTATAAACACACATGGTTTATCATTTGCCCATATAGTGGGCGTGTCCCACAAGCAAGGAGGGTGTGGTCCCGATCCCAAACAATTTGAGCTATAGTCACCAAAAATCCTGGATCCGTCCCTGGTCAAATGACGTTTCCACATATATTGCAATCAAAGCTTTAACCAAACGAATTCTAAGTTTGCTCTCTGAAAACAGGTTTTCTTTACAGCCGGCAGGTTTTTGATTTACTGCGTATTTATCGAAGTTGCAGAATACTTAAAATAAGAACCCTATCAAAATTATTCAACAAAGCTTATTCGCTTGACGTTGAGAAGAACAGTCTTGAAGATGTCGTATCTACCAAAGATAATGGAAGTGTGACTGGATAGGAAACTAAGCTGGAGAACAATAGGTTCTTATCAAAATGATGCGCGCGGTCTAAAATTTCAACTTGAGGGCTATGGTCATTTCCGGTTGCGCTTTTTAGTGGCAAGATCTCTCGACGTTGAACTTCAAAAAGATGGAATTTGAATATTTTTCAGACGACATCAACTTAGAAGACTTAGAGGTAGCGGCAGAGGTAAATTGTGTTTATTTCCACAATTTAATTTTCAGTAAACCAATCTCAATGCGTAGAATGGATCGGCAAGCCGTCTCATATGGTGGCCTAACCGGCTTCTAAAACTTTATCCAAAACTTTTTCGTTGCCGCAGAACTACCCGTATATCGTCGATCGTATAAAAGCTGCAAGATAGCAAGGTAACATACGATATTAAGCAATACCTGATTAAAAAAGAGAACTAATCATTAGTTTCTCCCTCTGAAGCAAAAATATGGAAAAGGATACAACAAATATATAACATGGAACGGGACCGGTAGTTGTGATGAAGAGGGTTTTTTCGCAAAAAAGTGATTCTGTCATTTCAAGTAGTAAGCATTTACATATTGATATACTAGTGCTTGAGCATAGTTTCATTTTGTCTCCAAAATAACAATGGCATCATCTCTTGAATTTTATTTTAACTTGGCTCCTATAATAAATTCCATCAAGGAAGTATTTGCTTTTTTCCCCAGCCCATTATAAATACCATTGATATATACTTTATCATACTAACTAGTTGATGTTACATAAGTAGACACTATAATTATTTGCTTTGATTACAGGAAGTAACTGTGGCATTTTGCAGTGACAAAAACACGCAATTGATTATTGGAAAAAGTCAAATGAAAAAGAAAAGAAAAAGACAGACAGAGCCCAAACCAAACGCAGGTCATCTTCAAAATATCAACATCAGTTCAGTTTATAAAGAGGCATTGAAGGCTTTGTCTGAAAAAGAGATGCTTCAACAACTATATAGTGCCACAATCAAACGCCTTCTTGATGCACCTTCTCCAAATTTAGACTTTCTTAGCAAACGCCTTGAGGATACAGTAGCAGGAAAGGCAGTTTCCCTTGACAAAATGTGGCAAAAGTTCCATCAAATATGGACAGACAATGAAATTGTTACTCAACTACAAGATTGTCTTGAAATTGAACAAGGATTCTCCTCCTGGCTTATTTTTGAATGTCAAGAAGTAATTGCAAAGCAAAACTATGCAATAACAGAAGACAAGGAGGTAGAGAAACAAATTTTATCCAGCAATGAAAAAGAAGTAGTAACATGTATTTGTGGTGCAATCCTTAATAAGCTCACAAAAAAAACCTATGACAACATGCGTAAAGTTGAGGAAAATAAAACTGCATATGTTTTGTTAAAAGAACGATTGGAAGTCTTAAATGCTTGTAAGGGAGAAGAGGGGAAGCAAGAAGGCTCAACCAGACTTATAAGCACTCTAACTAGGGGAGGTTTAACATACCCCAAGGAATCTTTTGCAAAAATACTAGAAAAAACAGAGCTTGTTTTCTGAGACCACATCTCCACCCAGAAAACAAGGATAAATGTGCAAGAGATTCTGGGCAACTGTCTACTAGAAGATGCAATTTTGAGTAATTTGAGTAGAGTATGCCAAAATTGTTTGGCCTCAGAACCTGTAAAAGAGGCAACACTGAAAGACTGCATCCTAATGTACATAAAAATCAGGGCTCATTCACATGCCAAACATATGATTGAAGAGCACAGGATGACCAAAAAGATTGACAAGAAAGAAAAGGCATTAAGAAAAAAACTTAAAATCACAAATGAACAAAAGAAGCAGTGATTGTTATTGTGATATGATTCATAAAACAGCATTATACTAAACAAAACATTAACCATTTTCATTGCAAAAAACATAATACATATACATAAATTGGTTATTATGAAGTTTTATTATAAATTGGTTTATTATCAAGTTTCTGAAAAGCTGTTACACTATGTATAATTAACTATGCAATGTTGTACTTCATATATATTGAAAAAAATTTCCAACAAACAAAATAGCTCTTTTTCTTAAAGGCAACTTTAACTCTTTCAGTTTGTTTGAAAAATCTCTGCCAAAGTGATGCGGGGGAAGGCTGGGGAAGGGTAAAAATAAAAATAATTTTCTTTCCTTTAGCATCTTTTGGACATGATTCCAAACAAGTTTTTGTTTTGTAATGGCCAAATATGCATGGCTATTAATGTACAGGGGCACAAGTATGTTAAAATTGAAATCAATACAAGACAAGATCCTGTGCTTTGAAAATAAATCATTCATCTTAATTGGAAAATGGTTTCTTGATTTATGAAATGACAGGTGTATGCTGCTGACAGTTTGCAATAAGGGGTCAAAAGGTAGATATGGTCTCATAAAACCAGCCATCCCCTTATGTATACCTAAAAAATCTCAGAACAAATGAAGATTTCAGGTCACAACCCAAATTTCCTGATGCCAAAATTATGCAGTGAAAAAGGATTGATTAAGTATTCTAACTAGAAATTTTACTTGGAAACAAATCAGTTCGAAAAGCTAATTGATGCTAAAGTAAGTCTTGAAAAATAATGAAAAATGAGTTTGAAAGAGACCCTGGTCATTTCTTTCTCCTTTTCAATGGGCTTGTTGTGATTGTTATTCCTGCTGCTGGCCGCTTTATCCCTTTTGTATTCCCCTTTGGTGTAATGCTTGTTGCAATGCTCCTTTGAATACGAAATTTGTTTTCTTGAAACCCAAAGGAACTAATGTTGGGGTTAGTTGACCTCCGCCCTAAGCCTCTGTGTCTTCCAAAATGGTCTTCCAAAGGGTCTTGGCAAAATCTGTTTGTCAGAACGTATTTGAAGCCATTCTGAAGGAGATATCTCACACATTCTACAAGTGAAAGAGCAGTAGTCTGCAGCCCCTCATATGTTGCCTCACTCAAAAACATCTTTCTTCTGTCCTCATCTGAGAAGTTACCTTTTCTGTTTTTAACTGCATCTTTCCATCTGTTAAGATACACAAAAAACTCATCTTGAATAAATCTAAACCTCTCATCATTTATATCTTTGTATGGCTTGAGGAATGGTTTAATTTTATGATCTCCCTCTGTAAGTGACCTCACATTGCACAAATCAAAAAACTTGTCAATCATGAGGATATAATTTGCTGTTGCACTTGCTTGAGTGGGACCATACTCCACCATTACCTTACCAACTGTCTCACTCATAACTTGTGCTGCTAAATTAACACGCATCTTGCTGTATGGGTTAAGATAGATGTGCTCATTAGTTAACTTTGGCAGCTTCCGAACCATACACTTCCTGTCTGATTCATATACATCTACCACATGACTCCAAACAATGTCCTTCTCGTTCCACATGAGACGCTTCTTACCAAATCCTGAATTTGCTAAGTTATTTCTTGCAGTTTTCAGCAGATGTGGGGGGTCTGAAAAAAAGAACAAAGGGCGCTTCTCAGCCCCACTGAAGACATTTATTGTCTTGTGAGTTATTTCCTTGTCTTGCCCATGGATTTTAAACAGCTTTTGATTACTAGTTGCCTTATCACAAACAACAGCAATAACCTTTAAACCAACATAGGTCTCACAAAATCCAACTGCTTGCCACATTAAGGGATATAGCATTCCACAGGTGGCAGTACGAGTTGCAAAGTAACCTAAAGAAAATTTCAGTGATGATGCTATACCGCATATCATGAAAACCAATGCATGTGAAGCAACTGATGGTACCTTGCCATCAAAGCCACTGCTCTTCCTGAAAATGTCATTCAAATCTGCTCCAAGATCAATAAATCCTACAAGTTCTCCTGAATGTTTATCGAAAACCAAGTCATCGCTTACAGATACTTCGTCAAACATAAGAATAACATACTTTGCAATTCCATGCAGCTTCTCTGTTTGATCCTTCAAATCATCAAGGACTTCTTTCCTGAAACCAACAGAAGGGTGGACAATGTTCGAATAGTCCCTGAGTGTACGTTCAGATGGCAACTTCAAAACTAAACTTTGTTTTAGTGCTCTGTAAGTGGAAGGTGAGCGCATGTGCAAATGCAAAGCAAACCTGATCATCATAGGGTGCCATCTTAAACCTTTATCGGATGACTGAAAAGCCTTGCACTGTTCCTTCCAGAAAAGTTTCTCAAAAGAATTCTCTGGAAATTGGCTAGAAACATTATCAATAATTTTGGTCAGGTCTGCATGCACTTCATTGTCTAGAAATATGCCCTTGGATCTAATTTCTCTTTCCAGTTGCTGTATGGTGGCCTCTAGCTTTTTCTCTTTTTGACGTAAAATCTGAACTGCCACAACTAGTCGCCTTTTAGCAACCCTTGTTAATGGAGACTTTAGGCTTATTGGTTTTGTAACAGATTGTTTTTCAAAATCCAATTGTCTTTGTATCTTTAAAGCTATCTTTCTGCATTCAGTGCAAGATTCAGAAGACTTGACCAAGGTGTTGCAATGTTTGCTGTATACTTTGTCAACTATTTTGCCACTGACCTTGGTTTTGATAAAGATAAGCTGCTCAGACTTTTTTTGGCCACCTTGCCTTAAGGCATGTTCTTTTATTATTCTGTCAGTTATGCCTAGGCAAATGTGCCACTCTTGTATTTCGCTTAATAACCAGTGAATTCTTTGTCTGCAAATGCTGTGCTTGTAATTTTTGTACAGAAGGTGATCCACTGGCAGCTCATTGAAATTTGTTTCAACAAGGAATTCTAAAGATTCATCGACAGAGAAATTAAGATCTATTTGACCGTGATTTATCAAAGCAACCTTTATGTAGTTTTCTGTTTCCACTATTGTCACCCAGGGTGCCTTTATCTTTTTCAGATCCTTCTTCAAGTCACTGAAGTTTAAATACTTGTATGGCAACTGCGTTTCATCTAAAGAACTCCTTTGAATATGACGTCTTGGTTTTGGTTTTGGCGTAATAATACTCTTTTCAGCCAAGAATTCTGTTGGTATAGACCCAACAATCAGGTCCTTTCTTCCTGTTTTTCCTATTAAACGATTTAAGAATTTTAGAGTTCATACCATCAATAAGCTGACACAATTAAGGGTGCACTGCAAATCTTTACTGGGGGAGTGGGGGCAGGGTGACAATGGTTACCTTGACTTTTTAGCACCAAATCAGTGTCGTCGGAAAGAAATTCATATTGGGGGAGGGGGGAGGGGGGATTGCTGGAAGCCCACCTCTGTCTAGCAAATCAGTTTGTGAAAATTTTAAGGTTTTCCTCCCATATAAAAAATTTCATTTGTCCTATCCTTCCATAGCAACACCCACTTTTCCGAGTAATGCGGCCCCATTTGATAACATAAAAACATTTTACGCAAAATAATTTTTATTTGATAAAATGAGACAACTTTATGCAACCATTTTCAAAATTAATCAAAGCAGTTTGAGGGAGAGGAAAGAAGAAAGAAAACTGAACGTGTTTGATGGCCTAGGACTTACGACTAAAGAAGGAAATAGCTTTTGAAAACGTACCTGTTTTAAAACACTCCGGCTTGAAATGTCGAGAGCATATGAAGGCTGCTTCGGAATTGAAACTGGGGTCACATCTGTTGACTACTTTAATAAGCTGAGTTCTCCAAGCCTTTTTCTTTTGACATTTGGTTGAACTTGGTGGTATTTTGTGGAAACTTAGGAGAGGGTAAACCTCTTTACTTTTATAGGTACTACAATTGACCAAAGCACAACGCGCAACCATGGGCGAATGACACTGTTAATGAAATTCACAGCAAAAATCAAATTTCGAATAACTTGTAACTAAGTTTCTTACAAGCTTACCGAACGAAAACTTCGCCTACTCTATCGAAATCGCGTGATAAGTTTGAAACCGGAAATGAACATAGCCCTCAAGTTGAAAATATCAATGAACCATAACATGATCCATTGTTCTAGCAGAGTTTCCTATCCAGTCACACTTCCATTATCTTTGATCAGAGGCTACATGCTGAAGGCCAAACTTGTCAGAAATTGTCACTTTTTCAGAATTTTTAGGAAGACTTTTCCTTAACCCTCACAGAAAAGTTAAATACCAACCGAAGCTCTTGTATAGAAGTAGGAATGATTGATACTTTTTAGCCCCGAATTTTTTCTCCGAAAGTTATACTAAACACGTTAAGAAAAAGTGTTGCGACAAATTCGATAGACGAATCATGGCCCTGTGTGGGATTCGGTGTTGCAACAGACCCTTTTTAGATGTGGGCAGTCTCTCTCCAAATAATCTAGGCCTATGTATTCCCAAAATGGAATTAAAAGTTAAACAAATACTTAAACTTTTGAAGCATAACCATGAAAACACAGGATTCTTACGATTTGGAAAAGTCTTACGATTCTTACGATTTTGCTATCCTGACTATAATAGCAAAATATGCCGAAAGGTTGTATGGCCCAATAATGGAAAAAGTCACATCCCCTTCATGGAATTTTAGAGATGTCTAAACAAATTCAACTTTTTTAATTTCAAATCTGCATAACAAAGAAATTTATAAAGAAAATTACACTTAGGTGAGCCAAAAAATTGTACCAACCCCCCCCCCCCCACATAATGGCTGTACCCCCTCCCCCGGGAGATACTCCTATTAAGGCCTGACAGGGGGGGGGGTACAGAATTAAACTTTTAAGTTTCGAATAAAGTTAACTATTTCCCTAGGTAAGTAAAAGTATCGCACCACTTCGACGAATGAAAAATGGCGTCAGCGTTGTGATATCGCGAAATCCATTTGCTTTATTTTAGTAGAAAGCAATTTGAAAGCAAGTTCTTGAGTTTTCAGAGCTTCCATGTTTTCGTCTCGAGACCTATAGAAATTTTATGGTCGATACTTTTTTTTATTTTTTGGCGTACATAAATAGCTTCAAAATATCAACAATGTCTTGTGAAAATTTCATAGAAATAGCTGCCGTTCTTTTTGAATGAGAAAGATTTTATAAATGTCTTTTCAAATTTGTTGCATAAAATGTCTTTTCACCCGTTTTTGTTGCGAAATTTCGAAGTTTGTCCCAATATTTTTTTAACATAAGTGAACGATAGATGTTTTTCATTTTTTTTTCATTTTAAAATTATTTATGCACGGTAGCCCCGTCAGTCATGACTGATTTTCAGGGGGCCGTGCCAAAAACTTTACAAATTAAAAAATCTACTAAAATTAATAACGGAAAAAGGAAACTAATTACAATCATAAATAATTTATCTTCAACTATTTACAATAAATTTACAACAAACCCTCTATCTTGTTCTTAAAAGAAGATAAAGAGGGAGCTTGCTTGGCCTCGCGGCTGAGATCATTCCAGATTTTTGCCCCACGAAATGCAAACGCTTTCTGTCCATTACTAGTTTTCATGAATGGCACTAGCAAGTCAGTTTCGGCATTTCTAAGGTTGATAATATTGCGATCAGAACATCTAACAAATAAATGCGAGAGATAATCAGGCGCGAGACTATTAACAGATTTATATACAGTTGTTGCAGTCTCATAACCCTGAGAAGGGCGAATTTTGGAGGTTCACAGTAAATCGCGATGACCGTTAATTTACCATTATTTGAAAAAAATGAAAATGCATGACACAGTGGGTGGGTCACATGATCAAAAAATACTGTCACGTAATTACGGCATTGCCCTTTGACCAGACCCGGATGATACAATGTAATGCACTGTAAGGCAATGCAATGCAATGCAATGCAATGCAATGCAATGCAATGCAATACAATACAATACCATACAATACAATACAATACAATACAATACAATGCAATGCAATGCAATGCAATGCAATGCAATGCAATGCAATGCGATGCAATGCAATGCAATGCAATGCAATGCAATGCAATACAATACAATACAATACAATACAATACAATACAATACAATACAATACAATACAACCCTATCAAATTCATACGATAGCCGGTGATTCTTCAGTTGGTCCATTTAACGATTTATTGGTCACTGAAATCCAATCGGTAGGTAAAATGGCACCTAAAGTTCATTTCATCTTTGTCTTCATCGGTAAATTGAACCCTTGATGAGCGACAAATTGTGGAGTAGCATTTTCCAGCGAACTAGAATCACTCATATTAGAAAATTTTCTGACCCTTCCGCGGCAACCATGGTGCCACCTCGGGGCTTGAGTTAGTCGAGAAGTTAAGGACGCATACTTATCAATAGTTCAGAAAAAATCTAATTTTTCACAGACATAGTAATAAATCTTTTTGTTTGATTCATCAATAGAATTCTTTGTAGCTACAAAGACAGAGTTTTCTTTCAATTAATTTTTCAATAACTCATGAAATATTATTTCGGTTTCTGCAAATTAAATGCTCGGACTTGCTGAAGGGGTCCTTGTCTATGCTTTTTCTCGGAGGCACTTAAAATGTTAGTGCGGCCCTGGTCAGCCCCATTGCTTTCGGTTTTTACTTAGTTTCATACCCAGTTACAATTTCGGGTTTCGCATCCTGAACTTTACAACTTGCATGCGTGTGAAAAATCTACTCATTACTCATTACTCTACAATGGTGTTCAAGGTACAATTGCCTTATAACTTAGTTGAAAATAGCATTATTTTGGTTCTAGATGATTTTCACGCGGTTGT